TTTTTAAATGTTTATTTAGTTTTAAGAGAGAGAGAGAGGGAGAGAGAGAGAGAGGGAAACAGTGTGAGTGGGGGAGGGACGGAGAAAGAGGGACACACAGAATCTGAAGCAGGCTCCAGGCTCTGAGTTGTCAGCACAGAGCCCGATGTGGGGCTCAAACTCATGAGCCATGAGATCATGACCTGAGCCAAAGTCAGACTTAACCAACTGAGCCACCCAGGCACCCCTATAGCTTATAGTTTCTTAACTTTGGCACTTTGGCATTTGGGGCCAGGTAACTCTTTGTCACAGGGGCCATCCTGTGCCTTGTAGAATAGTTCATAGTATCCTGATCTCCACCCACTAGATGCCACCAGTACCTCTTTCATCCCAGTTGTAGCAACCAAAAATGTCTTCAGACAAGGGGTAAGATCGCTCCCAGCTGAGAACCTCTGATTGATGGATATCTATAGACTCCACTGAAATCCACATAAACAAAAGCTATTTGGGGTCCTCATTAATTTTTAGGAGTGTAAAGGGGTCCTGAGGTCAAAAAGTTTGAAGATTACTTGCTTAATGGGTTATCCTGTGATGTTTTCACTCAACAGAGTTGATGAGATTTATTCATATAGATCCCTGTAGCTGTACTTCATGCATTTTCACAGCCGAAGCATATTCCATTCAATGGATAGTCACCTGTGTATTTATTTACATGTATTTATGTAGAAGCACATGGCTGGGTGTCTGTGCGCTGACTGTACGTCTAGGAGAGGGCTTGTCAGGTCATAGGTGGTGCTTCAATTCTATGGGATAAAGGTAAACTGTTTTAAACAGCTGCTGGTGAGAGTGTAAGAGAGTTCATTGCTCCACATCTTAAAAAATGGAAAACCCTAATAATACCAAATTTAATCATGTAAAAGAGTATCTTATTGTGGTTTTAACTTATGTTTTCCTAATCACCAGTGAGGTTGAAAATTTTTTACTATGTTTTACTGTCCATTCTTCAGATACCAGTTCATGGGTTTTTTTGCCCATTTTCCATTAGAGTGTCCATTGTTTCCATAATTGATTTCTGTGAGTTCCCCAAATTTATCAAATACTAATCTTTTGTTGGGTTATGTTGAAAACACCTTCTGCTCACTTGTGGCTTATTATTTTACATACTTTATTGTATCGTTTGATGAACAAAACTCTTAATGGAGTTGTAATTGTCATTTAAAAAATGGCTTATGGCGGGGTGCCTGGCTGGCTCAGTCAGCATGTGACCCTTGATCTCAGGGTCTTGAGTTCAAGCCCCATGTTGGGTGCGGAGCCTACTAAAAAGAAAAAAACAACAACAGCTAAAAAATGGTTTATGTACAGCCTTGTTTAAAACAACAGCAACAACAGGGGCGCCTGGGTGGCGCAGTCGGTTAAGCGTCCGACTTCAGCCAGGTCACTATCTCGCGGTCCGGGAGTTCGAGCCCCGTGTCGGGCTCTGGGTGGATGGCTCGGAGCCTGGAGCCTGTTTCTGATTCTGTGTCTCCCTCTCTCTCTGCCCCTCCCCCGTTCATGCTCTGTCTCTGTCTGTCCCATAAATAAATAAAAACGTTGAAAAAAATTAAAAAAAAAAAAAAACAGCAACAACAAAAACATTACACCCTAAGGATGTCAAACATATATTAGACCTTCTCAGTCATGTCTCCAGCTTCCTTTGTGTTTTCTACCTCTACCTTCTTGTGCTACATGATGGGAACCTTCTTGAGACAGATCTTCCAGGTTTTTTCTTATTATCTTCAGTGATGCCTGTCTCTGTTTAATTGTTGTGTTTTTCACTTCCAGAAATTCTATTTGGTTCTTTCAAGTCTACCTTGTCCTTTGGATTACCTCTCGTCCCTTCTTAGTTTTGATTACTCTTTGAACATTTTAAATACACTTATTTTATACTCTGTATCCAATGATTCCAACATCTGAGGTCTTTGGAGGCCTGACTTTATTATTTCTGCTTACTCTCACTTATAGTGCTTTAAGTCCTTACGTTTTGTGATCTGATTCATTCTGAACCTATTTCTCCTGCTGGTTATGTGGGGGCATGGTCAACCCTGGGTCACTGGGGCTGGAGGGAGGGACCAGGTGAGCAAAAACTCAATGAATAAACTCCTTCCACTGATGCCTCCCTTCCTGGGGCTCTGGAAACTAAAAGCTCTCTTGGGTATTTTTGGAATCAGCAGTCCCTAAAACCTCATGAGGGCAGCTGGTGGCCACAGATTCTTGGGAGAGACCTTTAAGATTCTTCTGCTTTATGTGGGCATCTAAAATCTGGCCCCTTACCTTGTATCAGCCCAAGACTTTGTCTCCTGTCCTGCCAGCACCTGTCAAAACTGCAGCCCAAAGTCACTGAAGTCAGTGGATGGCCATGAGTGAGGTGCTCAGGGGTAAGACATCACTTCTCTAGATTCTGGCTCCCATAAAAGTTTTGGACTCTGAAGATTTTCCTTTCTGGAAGGTCAGTTAGGCATATAAAATACGTGTTAAAATTTTGCTTTACTTTTTTAGGTGTTTTATAGTGGGAAGGTTTTCCAAGATATGTATATAATCTGTAGTTTTCCTGGACATAGAAGTCTTTATTCCATCTCTTTACCTTTCTTATTTTTTGGTTTGTTTTTTATTTTATTTTATTTTATTTTATTTTATTTTATTTTATTTATTTTTAATGTTTATTTATTTATTTTTTGAGAGAGAGTGCAAGCAGGGAGGGAGTGAGAGAACCCCAAAGCAGGGTCCACACTGGCAGCGCAGAACCCAATGTGGGGCTCAATCCCACGAACAAAGAGATCATGACCTGAGCTGCATGCTCTACTGACTGAGCCAGCCAGGCACCCCTCTGTTTACCTTTCTAAATCACTATACATTCACACACACACACACACACACGTACCTAATTTCACTGGCTGTGTTAGCTTGCTGGCCTCCTGAGGACAGAGACAGTGAATGGTCACCAGGTCAATCTGTGTGCTTTAAAAGGACCCATAGCTACTTACTGGCCTAAACCTGTTTCCCAGAACTGCTTGCTTTAAATCCTATAGCCCAGGTTCACTAAGATGCTAAGTTCCCTAGAAACACATTTAAGAATCCTGTTGAGGGTAGCAGATCCAATTATTAGGTGAATATGAAGTTCATATTCAGAAAGAGGACAAGTCAACACCAAAGTAGGGAATGCACTTTTGTGGGTAAAAAAGTCTTCCCGGTAGCCGTTCGGACAAGTGTTTTTGCTTACCGGTGTCCACCTCTGCCCTTTCTCCAAGATCATGAAATGTGTGTTGTCTCCTAAGGTCTGAAAGAACTCTTCCGTATCCACCACGGTTCCGTCTTCCTCCAGCACCAAAGTGACCAGTCCGCTGGTGATAACTAAGGCATCCAGGGTCTAGATTGACAACACATCAGAGACATGGAATAAAGGAAGAGATTCCATTTTGACCACTCAAAGCCATTGACTAAGTTATAGATTCAGAAGTGATCTGATTTTGCTAAAACTTTAATGATAAAGATCTACCTTCATTGGCATCTCGGACTCAGTCTTGGCTTGGAAAAAGAGAAGATTTTTAATGGACCAATCTTCTTCAGAGATCTCAAGGACATGAGATTAATGAAGACACCGAATCAAATTTAGAGTTTCTATAATTACTCACTTATTTTGCCAAATAAAATGAAGAATGCAACAGAATGATATTTAAAGAGCCTTAGGCTCACATCACGCATCTGACCCTCTCTTGCTTCAGGGTCTGCATGTTGGATGTTCATTTCTTCTTTCCATAGGTGTCTCTGTCTGGGTTATGCTTCCATAACCTGACTCCACAGACTCCAGAGAGTCTGTGATTCTTCCTTATTTGGTGATCTAGGACACTGTTTTAGATTAAGGACTATTTTTCTCTGGGCTTTATAACCAAAAACAGATTTCCAAAGGCTGCTGTTTCCCTGTACTCTCCCTTGTCAAAGAAGAAAGGCTGTATTATCAATTGATGACTGTTTTTAAGGCTTTTGTGTCTGTAGCTAAATCTTTTATGGTACAGAGATGTAATAATGTTCCCTTTCATTCTTTTCTTCTCCCCTCAGACTCTCCAAGGCCATGACAGTGGCATTTCTGTCTCTGCCCTGGTTTAGTATCTAAGCCCATAGCCCTGCATACAGTCAGGGGCCCTCCTGTAAGGGATGGGAAAGCCCCGGGGTTCCTGGCACCTTGCTAAGAAGCTCCTTCAGACTGTTGGCCATCACCCCTCGCCGGCTGCTTCTGTCATGGTTGGAGACCCGGAAAGGGCGAGCTGAGTGCATGAGGGGGGTTAGCAGGACTTTCTTGGTCTGTGATCCCATAAATGTCAGGGGCCTGGAAATGGAAGAGAAAAGTAAAAAATATCTTTGACTTATCTTCAAAAAAGGAATCTTCCAAGAGAGGTTTGAAGTATACAAATTAAAACAGTTTTCATATTTGCATCTGAAAGAAAGAAAATCAGTAGTTGGGGATCATTGAAAATCCTGATATCCAAGAAACAAATAACACAAACAATTAAAAACCACAGCCATCATTATGCCTATTTTACTAGAACATTCAAAGTCCTTGTAGTAAATATGTGAGAAAGAAGTGGTAAGAGCATCAAACTCAAAAAAGAAATAAGAATTCGATTTTGCAAACATGAGTTTTATAGCTGAAAAGTCTTTTTTTTTTTTGCCTAACGTTTATTTTTGAGAGAGAGCAACAGAGCACAAGCAGGGGAGGGGCAGAGAGAGA